GGTTATTTTAACAGTGTCCTGCTCACATGCTCCATGTGTGTGTCCTCGGCATGCTGCAGTGTTCCAGTGAATCACAGCGCAAACTGGAGGAACAACATCTCATCTTCACACTCGGCACTTTACAGCCTCTGGGCTCAATATTGAGTTCAACACCTTCAGATTGTGAACCCACTCCTTCCCTTTCCTTTAGCTTTGTTTGTTACATTCTCTGTCGCCCTCTCTCCCCTCCACCTCCCCCCCTACCCCCCTCCTCAGTGGGGCTGTCTGTCCTTCCCAGCCTGGCTGTTAGACACACCATTGCTCTGCCTTTCTCACATTCCCATCACTTAATCTGAACTATCAACATCTTTTCACCCCCAGCACTCCAACTGGACTCTCCTCCCACTGCCCCCTCCACACTTCACTTCAGCTGAGATGAAGAGTCATGCAGACTTGAAATGTTAGCTTGCCCTCTCTGTCCATGAATGCTGCCTGACCCGCTGTGATCTCCAGCATGTTTTGTTTTCAGTCTGGACCTTCAAACCAGCTGCTTTGCCAATATCCATATCCATGGAGGCAGCAAGCTTAACTCGATCATGCTCCTGCCCCACAGCAGAATAACACATCAGAAGATTTTGCAACGAGCATCCTGCCTCCGAGACGAAAATCCAGCTCATTAACTCCAGTGATGCTGCCTGACCTTCCAGTTTTTTTAAAATGTTTTTCCAATCAGAAAAAGCAGGGTAAATAACATGACCTTGCAAGGAGTTCAATGAAGATGAGAAAACTCCATCATTGTGATGCAGTTTTGTACAATGTCTCACAACAGCCACCCTTATCTTTAATTTGTTTTCTCCTTCCAACTGAAAAGATTTGAGATGTGGGCACCAATCGTTTTGACTATCAGGTATGCCCACCCCAACATCTAACAGCACAATAATCCTCACAGAGAGCATTAATGGTTAATCAAATAGATTGGTGTTCTGGGTCAATGCCTACAATTAAATCATAAGCATAAATAGAGAAAAATTAAATATTGGTTAAATATGACTAATCAAGCACCTACTTTCGCAACCAAGATGAGCTGCTTTCTTGCCACAATGCCTTTCGATGAAGTCCTTGAGTGAACCATGCTGTGCTTCAAATACTGTTTCCCATTGTGACCATTCTGCGAGATCTTCCAACAAAGGAGCATTCAACAGACATGACAAAGCCTGTTCTTTACTCAGATCCCCAAGGAGCCCAACAGAACTGCTTGAATCAATGCTGCAGTGACTTTAAAGACAAAATTATTATTTTTTATTAATCAAAGCCAAACAAAATTTATTAAAAAAGATGTCGCAGCAATTCCTTGGACACAATAAGCTTCTTTCTCGGGGCCTCACCTAGATTCTTCAATAAATAGTGCGGTTTCATACAGCACCAAGCTTTGAGGATTGTTATGCCCGCTGTGTGACTTGGTTTGGCGTTGTACCATCTTCACTATATTAGACAATGTCCCATATCCAAGTTCCTTGATATCTCTCACCCAAAACTGATTACACAGTGCAGCCTTGATTGTTGGAAACTGAAGTCAGAGAACGGATATGTCCATTAGACCTGGATATCACTCTTAACATAATAAACTGCATCACGGTGTTTCACAACAGTTGTATAAAACAGTGTTTGACAAGAATCACATAAGTGACATTTGTTCAGATAACTAGACTTGTGACCTCAGAACATGCCCAAATAGCATTAAGGAGCTAACTCCCAATCGTCATAAAATTGCACATTAGGTCGACAATCCAGGGCTATTCAGGAAACTCCAATTTTTTGCACAATTTTATTGAGATTGAGATGGATAAGAGTGGAAACCAGAAAATGAAAAGCTGAAAGCAAAAATAGAAAGGACTGAAGGCAATGTAATTTGTGAAGCAAATTACTGATTACAAATCTAACAGAACCTGTAACATTGAAAATCAGGGCCAGCCAGAAAATGTCTGTTTGCCAAGATCAAGATTGTCTTTTAAAAAGTATATTTTCACTTCTCTTGTTTATCCATGACCTTGTGATTGGTGGGAGTGGGTGACCAGCCCACTCCCAGGCTTCATCAAGGTGTACGCTTAGGAATGACCAGCCATTAGAAAACTCTGACATTTGGCTGACTTTCTCAAGAGCAACAGAAGCACCAACAACTTTTACATTTGTTTATGCTATTTATGACACATCTTTAATGTACTACAATGCCCCAAGGTGTTTCACAGAAGCATTAGAAACTAAATTATCACTGAACATCATAAAGCAATGACAATACCTGGTCAAATAGATTTTAAGGAGCAACTTACAGAAGGAAAGCAAGGAGAAGTGTACAAGGGGAACACCAGTTGCTTAGGACCTTGGTGGCTGATGGCTTGGTCACCAAGGTTGGAGCAATGAAAAACAGAAATAAGTGACCAGAATTAGAAAACTATAGATATCAAGGATTGTTGTGCTGGAGGAAAGTAAAGAGACAGCTGGGGTAAGGCCATGGATGAATTTGAAAACAAGGATGAGAATGATAAAATCAAGGTACACAGGAATACAACCACCTGCAACTTCCCTTCCAAGCCACATGCCATCCTATCACCTCTCTTTTGCTGTCTCTGGGTGAAAATCCTGACAGGCTTGGATGTTTATTGCACAGAAAGAGACAATTCATCCTGCTGTGTCAACAAAGATCTGAATACACTTACCAGTTCTTGGTCCAGTGCCAGTGAAAATCTAAATACTGCTCAAATATTACACAAGTTTCTGACTCAACCCTCCTATCAGGCAGTGAGTTCCAGATTCCCACTCCCCTTGGAGTGAATTTTTTGTTAACTCTCCTCTCAGCCTTCTACCTCTCACGTTAAATCCAAACACCTGGTTATTGACCTCCCTTCGAACAGCCTCCCCTATCCACTCCATCTATGGCTCTTGTAATCTTATACACCACTATCAGGTCCTCTCTCAACCTTTGCTGTTCCACAAAAAGCCATTCTAGCCTATCCAATCTTCCTATGTAGCTCAGACCTGCCAGTCAGGCAACATCCTGATAAATCTCCTCTGCACCCTCTCTTGTACGATCACATCCTTGCTATACTGCAATGCATTACTCCAGTTATGACCATACAGTCCTAGCACTACCTCCCTGCTAATAAAGGCAAGTATCCCATATGCTTTCTTAAGCACTTCATCTGCCTATTCTTCTAACTTCAGGGGCCTGTAGACATGTACATCAAGGTCCCTCTGACCTTCAGTACATTTCAAGGTCTCAACATTCATTGTACCTAGTACCTTCCCTCGTTAACTCTTTCCAAGTGTATTGCCTCACACCCTCGGGATTGAGTTCCATTTACCACTGTTCTGCTCACTTGACCAGTCTGTCAATATCCTCTTGCAGCTTATAGCCATCCTGCTCACTATTTATGCCTCTGCCAACTTTTGTGTCATCTGTGAACCTCTTAACCTTGCTCTCTACAGTCCAATGTCCAAATTGGTAATGTACATCACAAACATCAAAGGCTCCAGCACAAAGCTCTGTAGAGCTCCACTGAAAACAGACTTCCAGTGACAAAAACATCCCTCTACCATTATCTTTAATTTCCTGCCTCTCAGCCAATTTTAGATCCAACATTTCACTTTGCTTTGGATCACATGGACTCTGTTTTTGACCAGTCTGTTACGAGGGACCTTATCAAAAGCCTTGCTAACGTCCAGGCAGACCCTCATCAACACTCCTGGTTACCACCTCCAAAATGAATCAATCAAATTTGTCAAATACAATCTTCTCTAAACAAATCCATGCTGACTATCCCTGATTACTTTGAGCCTCTCCAAATGCAGATATACTTTGCTCTGGAACTCTCTTTCCAAAAGCACTCTGGGTGTCCCTACATGACAGGGACTGCAGTCATTCTACACTGAAGATCCCCATCACCTTTTCAAATGGAGTTAGGGATGGGCCATAAACACTGGCCTAGCCAGCAATGCTCACATCCCATAAATGACCAGGAGTGATCACAATTGCTTGAAGACATGAGTAGCAGAGTTTTGGATGACCATGAGTTTAGGGAAAGTTGAATGTGAGGGGATGGCTCAGTGTTAATTGAGTAGTTAAGGCGAAAAGGTAATGAAAAGGGATGGGCAAGGATTTTAAATGCTGAACTGAGGCACAGGCAGAGTTAGGCACTGCACAGGAGGTGGGAAAAGGTAGCTCAAGGGATAGCATGAATATATGTTGTCAGCTGCTCATTTCAGGGTAACCTAGAGAAGAATCCGATTCAGCTCCTGGTGATTGCCATGGAGAGGGATGGTACTGGTGGCCTTGAAGGGATCATTGGGAATGGAAGGCTGCATCTACAGTCTTCCTACAGTTTAACTGGAGGAAATGTCTGCTTGTCCAGTACCAAAAATAGAATGAGCTATCTGACAGTACAGAAACATTAGTGTGGTTGAGGTAAGGGGCAGTGAGTCAGAGCTGGTTATTGTCAGCCAACATGTATGGCCTCTTGCTGCATTGTAGGGAATCTGTGTAGAAACTGAAATGGTTCTGAGATTTGCTGCTGACATCAGCCTGTAGGTGACGGACTGGAGAGTGTCAAGGAACAGACATTGGTGGTGGGGGTTGAACGGAGGTAATGGGTGTTGGAAGAAAAGTCATTGTCAAGTGATAGCAAGGCTACAACTGTATAAATTAGAATGAGTAAAATTCATGAGAACTATATTACACTGGAAATGTCATTAACATAAATTGCGCCCATCATACTGTGCCTTCCCACCACAAGTTTACATCATTCTGCAAGATGCCAAACATATTGTATCTCTGTTCCCCCATGCCAGCGCCACCTGTCAGCAGGCTTAGTTACCATAGACTCCTCCAGGCTTCCACACTGCCTGATGAACTCATACACATCTTGGTAACTTGGTCGGAGTCCACAAGTTCCAGCATCTTGTGGATGTAGAAACAGACTTCCCCCAGCAGTTTCTTCTAGCAGCTGTGTAACAAAACAGAACTTTACTACCACACATGAGGAATCTTTCACTTTCAATCATTCTAATCAAGTGCAAACCTACTGTTTGACACTCAAAAGCAGGTTTGATTCTTTCACAGATAACAAGGTGTAGAGCTGGATGAACACAGCAGGCCAAGCAGCATCAGAGGAGCAGGAAAGCTGACGTTTCCAGTCAGGACCCTTCTTCAGAAATCTGAATTCAGAAAAAGGGTCTAGACCCAAAACATTAGCTTTCCTGCTTCTCTGATGCTGCTTGGCCTGCTGTGTACATGCAGCTCTACACCTCGTAATCTCAGATTCTCCAGCATCGGCAGTTCCTACTATCCCTGAATCAATTCTTTCACGGAACTGTTTATATGTGAGGTGAATATATAAAACCTGTAGATCAACCAAGCAACTACATTACTGATCCTAATTTGAACAGGAAAACACATCAAGCAGGATTTGTACATCATGAAAGCATTACTCCCAGTAACTTGAAAAATGAGATCACCTCCCTGCTAGGTTCAGACACCGGCAATATGTTAAACACAGCAACCAATCATTATATAGTATGGTGCCATAGTCCAAGAGGACCATAGGCATCTCTCTCCATTCGAAGGAGATAATTGTTGGTGTACTGTTTGAAGGTAGCTACTCCCCAGCTGCCGAGGTGAGAAAGCTAGCCTCCATAGACTACTACAGCCAGTACAGGGATTGAACTCCTCTATTGGCTTTAATCTGCACCACACTCTCATCAATGAGTGAACAGAGCTCACCAACCCCCAATCCATCTTCATCGATTTAATGGAAAGGTACTAGAAAAAAAACACAACACAGAGTTTTCTTTTCTGAGGAGATGATTTTTTTTCAATAAGTACATGCACAATTGAAAACTTTACTGTTTAATTTTCAGCTTTTCTGAAAAAATGATAGCCAATAAACACTCAATGGAAATAAGACTGAGAAACGTAGTAGTACAATGTCCTTTCATCTTTGTGAACCACAAAGCCCAAACGTGAAAGAGATGAAATGTACTTAAAGCTTTTCCTAACTTTCACTAAAACAAGTGCAAAATTTATCTTAAACAGAGCACACACTTACCTGAGAATGTTTCAGCAGATATTCGAGGAAAGTACCATGTCCCATGTGAACAAAGCCTTTCAATTTGAAGTGATCAACTAATTTTTTCTCCAGTTTGCATAAATAGACAAGACTCAAGTATCCAGTCACAGTGGAGAGGGTCTTTTCCAAATACTCTCTTACAGATCCTAAAGGCCAAAGCAAATTTGAGTAGGAAAAAACTTAGCAACAAAATGCTCATCAAGAATAATAGTGGGCTATCAGGCCAATGGAGAAGTACAATCATAGAATCCCTAACAGTGTGGAAGCAGGCCATGCCACCCATCGAGTCCTCACTGACTCTCTGAAGAGCATCCCACCCAGTTATACCCCCTACTGTATTCCTCTAACTCTGCATGTCCCGTGGCTAATCCACTTAGCTTGCACATCCCTGAACACTATGGGCAATTTAGCATGGCCAATCCACCTAACCTGCACATCTTTGGACTGTGGGAGGAAACCAGAACACCCGGAGGACATGCAGACACGGGGAGAATGTGCAAACTCCACACAGACAGTCGCCCGAGGATGGAATTGAACCCAGGTCCCTGGTGGTGTGAGGCAGCAGTGCTAAACACTGAGCTACCATTTTGCCCCCAGATAGCTCCAAGAAATTGTGCATAGTGCCATAAATGACTGAATCCCTAAGATTCACCATTTCCCAGCACCTGCATCACAAAAGCACTGTTTGAAGCTGGGGAGAGGGAAAGGTCAGAAGATTCAGCCCTGCATAAATAAACATGGGCAGAAAACTGACTTCAGAGCAGAGGGATAGTCATCATTCTGCGTAAAGAGAAGCACAATTGGGAAGAAATTGCTATAAGAAGCTTTAAACATAATGAAAAATTTTGATATTATTACTGCGTCAATGATGTTAAACAATTGCAAGATGTTGTTGATGAAAGCAGGCAATCCTCCACAGTAACAATCCACCAAGAGGAACTCAAACACAGAGAAAGCTGGAGAAACTCAGCAGATCTGGCAGCAACTGGAGTGAGTGAAACAGAGTTAATGTTTTAAGTCCAGTGTGATTCGTCTTCAGAACCAATTCAAACGTCAGCTCTATTTCTTTCTCCACAGATGTTGTCAGACCTATTGCGATTCTCCAGCATTCTGTGTTTCCTTCAAATTTTCAGCATCTGCAGTATTTTGCTTTCTTTCGAGTGGAACCTCATTGCGCAGTTCACTTTAACAATGAGTTCCTTCTCAATTACAATGACATGATTTTTTTTTTGTTAATATTTGTAAAATCAGGGCCTCCCCATTTGATTCAATAGGATTGCAAACCATAATCTACCTTCACTGGGAAGCGGAGTTTCATTGTCCTTTGCTCTATTTACAACTGCCTTGTCTGGTTTCTCTTTTGCCACCAAGTCCTGGGGAACTTCCAGGGAACCACAGCAAATGGCCAACTGAAAGAGTGATCGGGCCAAACGATCTTCTCCTATCTTGATCAGGAATTCCTGAACATACTGCAGGAGGAGAAAATAGACAACTATTAGATGTGTCAGAGACAACATCTTTCAGATATTTTGTCTACAGTAAGTTTTGTGTAAACACTGAGAAGTTACATGAAGCTAAAACAATAGAAGGGCTTTAAAAAGGGTAAATCTAAAGGAAGATTTATATAAAAGGGGGGGAGGAAAAATCAGTCTTAAGATCATAGTTGGGAATGCTACATAAAACATGAAGGATAGAGCCAAATAAGAAACAATTAATTAATGTTCAACACTTTTTATATGCATGATATATCTCTCCAGTTGCAAACTGCACTAATGGTATTAGCTGCAGCACTTCCTCAACGACAGAATTAATAAGATTTCCCAGCTGACAATATGCTGTGATAGTACTACACTGTTCCTAGAACATTTGTCCAACGAGCTCTTGTGGATATGCAGTAATTTCCTTCAGCTTAACATTGAGATCGCAAACTCATTCAGTCACCAACACAAACTGAACATCTCCCAACCTGATCTCAACCCCAAGCAGACTGCTCTCAAATTTCGTGCCTATTCAATGTAGAGGTGGGCTTTCAACAAAAACTGCTTAATATGATTGCAGAAAATAATGAAGAAAGCTATGGAACACTAGCCTTTATACCCAGAGGACTGGAGTATAAGGATGCAGATATTATGCTGCAGTTACACAAAACCCTGGTTAGACTCCTTTGAAGTACTGTGAGCAAATCTGGGCACCACACCTTATATTGGTCTTGGAGGGAGTATACAGGGAGGAGGTTTACAAGAATGTTACGTAGATTTCAGGGGGTTAAGTTATGAGGAGAGATAATGCAAATTAGGCCTGTTTTCTCCAGAATTTATAAGATTATGGGGTGATCAAAGTCTTTGAGATATTAACAGGAAAAGACAAGATCGATAAACAATCCCCACTGGTTGAGGATTCCTGAGAATTAGGGCCAGACCATTCGGGAGAGATGTTAGGAAGCACTTCCACATACAAAGAATGGGAGAGTTTTGGAACTCTCTTGCACAAATGGCAGTGGAGGCTGGGCCAGTTGTTAATTTTAAATTTGAGATAGATGAATTTTTTTAAGTAGAAGTATTAAGGGATATGGGTCAAAGTCAGGTTTGTGGAGTTAGGCCACAGATCAGCCATGATCTCACTGAAAGGTAGACAGGATTGAGGGGCTGAACAGCCTGCTCCTGTTTTCATGTTGGTACCAGTTACCAAAAAAAGGAACACAAGTGGAGAGCCAGATATACTGGATTCCATTAATTTGTCAATCACACATGACCCATCAATGAAGGTGGTTTTGTTTTTCAAAGACTAGCAACCATCATACTTGATAGACCATGATAGACACTATCGTGAAGCCATCCTACTTCTCAACATTCTGCTTAAAAGTAGCTGTCAGATAATATCCCCCTTCTACCAACCAGTAGAGAATAATTGCAATGTGCCAAAAACCACTTAAAGATTATTTATTCTACTAAATTGAAACATATAAGAAAATGCATTTTGCAGGGGATGTACAGTGAAACCTCTACTAACAGATACTCACAAAAATGTTACTAAGACACCCAAAAAATAAAGATCCACGAAATGCATGGGTTCTCAATATATTGAACGCTGTTGATTTATAAATCATTTTATAACTTCAAACAGGGGACACAGCTGACTGAAAGTTTCAGATTCAGCAACTTTGCAACAAGACTGTTTCACTGGCATTGTTTCTTGCAGCTTGTTCTCTTCTGTCCCAGAATTCTCTAGTGGCCAACGTAGAAGGGGACAGCAGAATTTGGACTTTTCTGGAATGGGAGTTTTGTTTTAGCCAGTGTGCACAGCCACAGAGAAAGCAGTCTAACTCTGGGGTGGAATCATGGGGATAGAGAGGTTTCTCAGGGATACAGTGGTTTCATAGCTGCTACAGATGCTCAGTAAATATCTTCCCATTTATTGAAATAAGTGGGAAAGTAAGTTGCAATAAAGAAATAAGGAATTTACAAATGGATATGGGTAGGTTAGGTCCATGAGCCAAAACTTGTCATATGGAGTTTAACGTGGATAAGGGTGAAGTTATCCATTTTGGTCAGAAGAATAGGAAAGCAATTTATTATCTAAATGGAGAGAAACTTCAGAATGCTTTGGTACAGAGGGATCTGGGTGACTTTGTGCAAGAATCACAGAAAACTCATGTGCAGGTACAGTAGATGATAAGGAAGGCAATTTTGGCATTTACTGCTAAATTAATAGAGTATAAAAGTCCCATTACTGAACAAGGTATTAGTGAGACTCCATGGAGTACTGCATACAGTTTTGGTCCCTTTGAGGAGGGACATAGTTGCATTGGAGGTATTTAACAGGAGGTTCATTGAAATGATTCTAGCGTTGAGGAGTTAGTCTTATGGAGAGAGCTTGAGCAGTTTATACCTACACTCTCTGGAGTTTAGGAGAATGAAAGGAGATCTAGTTGAGGTATAAAAGATGCTAAAGGGGTTAGTTAATGTAGATGTAGAGAAGATGGGGCAACCTAGAATGAGAGGTCATAGTTTTAGGATAAGAGGCAGCAGATTTAAAACAGCGGAAGAGGAGTTACTTCTCTCAAAGGGTTGTGAATCTGTGGAACTCATTACCCCAGAATGTGATGATGCTGGGACATTGTGTAAATCTAAGGTGGATATGGGCAGTATTTGAATCAGTAACAGGTTGAAGGATTATGGAGAGCAGAGAGGAAAGTGCAGTTGAGGCCGAGATGAAATCAGATTAAATGGAAGAGCTGGTTAAAGGGGGTGAATGGCCTACTCCTGCTCCTAGTTCTTACTGACTTTTTTTACATAAACAGTACAAGCAACTACTATTTTAAAAATAAGAATACCTATAAAAATTACAGCTGAAGACAGTCCCTAGAGTGATTATTACTCACTAGTTCCACAACAAAAAGGTCAAGGTATGCAGAGAGATTCTGAGTCAGTTTATGCCTGTCATGATAGTGATAAAAATGGACAATTATTTTTCCAATTGTATAATTTGATTTTAATATCTGGGTCCAAAATGCGCCAAAATGGTTTTATAAAAGGAAAGAGCACTGACTGTAAATGGCCATACCATTCAGTTGGTTACAAATACTTGTGAAACCAATATGAAAAAAATAAACAGAATTGAAATTAACCTCTTTTATAAAAGGAAACTGAATCGAGTCAGGTGTGAAGAAACTCTCCTGAAAACGATAAAAGCTGGAGATCACAGCAGGTCAGGCAGCATCCATGGAGAGAGAGCAAACTAATGTTTCGAGTCTAGATGACTCTTCATCAGAAACTCTTCTCCTATTTTATTTTACACCTATGTAATAAGGTTCACATACTTGAGGCCAAAGGCATCACCTCCAATTATCACGTTGGAAACCAGGAATTCACACATTGGAATACATATACCGGATGTATTTCAGGGTGCTGCTCGTGACTGAGCGGGAAAAGAATGGATTTGGAGAAAACACTCTCAACCTTTTAAGAAGGAAACAATACGTGGTAAACACGAAAAGAAACATTGGAATACCAAGAACTCAAAGGACAACTGAAATATCCACTACAGCTGAGGATATGAACATCAATTTAAATGATTGTAGTTTCAGGTTAGAACATTTGCACCTCAAGGATTGTATATTCTTTTGTGTTCTTTTTGAACTGGTCACCATTGCTTTTCAACTTTGTACCTGTGAGCACATAAATTTGACATCATGCCTTTATTATTTTTAGCAGCGTTAGCAAATAATAAAATCGTTCTCTCAGTCAGGAAAACCTTGTAATTATTATTTCTGGTGAACTTGTTATTAAATATTTTAATTGGAGAGTGGTATAGCCTTGTGCTAATAAAACACTTTACCGTGGATAACTGAGGAGACTGAAAAATGGAGGGGGGCTGCCCAACAAACATACATTTCACTCACCTTGCACAGATGAGATTCTTGCACAGCCAACACCAGTCATTATTACGCTATTGCTTCACACAACAAATCAGGATTTCAATGTTGCCAAAACAAAATTGCCTACCTTAGTCATTTTACCACTGAAGACATCCTTTATATTGAAGAACACTTGAAGGATTGCATCTGCTGCTGTCATAGAGGCATATTGCTTCCGGAGATCCAGAGATCCACTGGTAGAATACAGATGTGGTCCACCAAAGGGGTCCATCACACTTTTCTTAACTTTGTTGAAACGATTATTCACTTCCTCTTCTATTTCGTTCTGAACTCGATTCTTCGCCTTGTCTATAGCAGCTCGTTCTGTGCTTGAAGCCTTCCCCAATGTCTATTCAACATGATTTCAACAAAGATTAATTCATTTTCTTTTATTTCAATGACACTTTCTCCCTCACCTCCCATCTCTCACAGCAGCAAACTGTCACACTGAATCTAACCTTGCTCTGCTTCCTGTTCACATATCAGCTTTACCTGCAACTGAGAAACCAAGGGCGCAATGATCATCCCCCTTTCTTCCTTCTTACAGAGAATTGTTATGCTTGCAGTAGCAATTTCTGGATTGATGTGGTGAGTAACTTTATTATTAAAAGATAACTGAAGTGTAATACAGAAAGTAAAAAAACTGTTCATTGAACAAGAATACGTAGAGGCATGCAGAGAGGGATCTATGATATATTTAAAGGTAGACTATATGTAGGCAGTACAGACAAAATAATAAAATTAAGAACAAAAAATAGCATCAGCTGCAAAAGTTAGAATTTTACAACCATGGAATTAGGTTTTAGGTGTCCCCGTGCAATCTTTACAAACAAACTCTCAGAATAAAGACAGCATTCTTTCAACAATTGTGTTATGCTTTAAGGGTTCAGTAGAAGACCAGTGGCTTTTAAAAGATTTTTTTAAAGTATCCTTTCACCAGTTACCAAAGGAGGGCTTTTTTCTGTTAAACCCTGCTACAAACTGAACAGCAGAGAAGATTGGAAATACATAGCAGGTCCCTCAGCAGCTGGACAGACAGAGGGGTTAACAAAATCAGCTCAATGGTTGTGGGTCAAAAAGCCTTTGTCACAGCTCAGGAGATTAGTAGGAAAGGCTAAACAAGTTGGGGATTTTGTTGTTAGTAGAAAGGGAAGACTTAGAGAAGGCTTGTCAGTAGTCTTTCAAATTAAGAACAGATTGGACGGGGTAGATGTATGAGGAAAGCATGTCAATGGGTGGAAAGTATCCAAAAGCCATAAATACAGGGTAGTTACAAATGAATTCAACAGAGAATTAAGGATACATTACTTTGCTCAGAATGGCTACAATGTGGAACACTGCCACAGAAAGTGGTTGATGCAAATAATATGGATACTTGTTTAATTTCCTTTTGAAAGCATGAGAGAACAGACAATAGAAAGATATGCTGAATATATAACACAGATAGGATGGGGGGAGTTGTGAGCAGCATAAATACCAAAACAGTTTTGGTTTTATTAAATATATAGGCATGAGGACAGATTTGACCCTAGTTAACTGGGCAGAAAGATTAAGAAGGTAGGACAGTTGATGAACAGTGGCAGACGTTTGGAAAGCCAAAACACAATCAGCATGGATTTGTGAAGGATAATTTATGTTTGAACGTTTGCATTAATTCTTCAAAACTGTAACAAGCAAAGTAGATAATGGGGTCCTGTAGATGTTGTATATCTGGATTTTCAGAAAGCATTTGATATGTTGGCAAAGGAAAGGTTGCTACACAAGGTAAGATCACATGGAGTTAGAGGTAATTCATTAGCTTGGATACAGAACTGGCTAACCAACAGAGAGCAGAGAGTCAGGACAAATGGATCTTTTCTTGGTTGGCAAGATGTAACTCGTGGAGTGCCACAAGGTTTGGTGGACAGGCCTCAGATATTTACAATCTATATTAATGACTTGGATGCAGGGATAGAATGTAATGTAGCCATGTTTGCAGGTGGCTCTAAAATAGGTGGGAAAATAAGGTGCCATGAAGAAATAAGATATTTACAAATAGATATGGACAGGTTGGGTCAATGAGACAAAATTTGGCAGATGGAGTTTAATATGGATAAATATGAGGTTATTCACTTTGATCAGAAGAATAAAAAGGCAATTTATTATCTAAACAGAGGGAAACTACAAAATTTATAAGTGCAGAGGGATCTGGGTATCCTTGCGTACATCACAGAAACCTAGTATGCAGGTATAGTAGGTAATAAACAGCAAATGCAATTTTGGTATTTATTGCTGAAGGAATGTAGTATACAAAGTACAGAAGTGTTGCTGCAATTGGCCATGGCATTAGTGAGACTGCGTCTGGAATATTGCATTTGCTTTTGGTCCCCATGGTTAAGGAGGGATGTAGTTATATTGGAGGTATTAGAATTTGATTCGATTGATTCCAGAGATGAGGCATTTGTCTTATGAAGACAGATTAAGCAGTTTAAGCCTACACTGTCTAGAGCTTAAAAGGAGAGATCTAATTGAGGTATATTAGACGCTAAAGACAATTGACAAAGTAGACGTAGAGAAGATACTCCCTCATGTGGGACAATCTAGAACAAGAGGTCACAGCTTTATAATACAGGGTAGGAGATTTAAAACAAAGATGATGAGGAATTATGTCTCTCTAAGGGTTGTGAATCTGTGGAATTCACTCCCCCACAGTGTGATGGATGCTGGGACATTGAGTAAATATAAGAAGGAGATACACCCCTATGAATCTTACATCACAACAAGGTCATCTCTCATTCTCCTAAACTCCAGATGAGTACAGGGTCAACCTACACATCATCTTCTCATAAGACAGTGCCTCTGTACACAAATTCAACCTGGTAAACCTTCTCTGGACTGTCTTCAATGCCAGTATTTTTTCCTTAGATAAGGGGATCAAAACTGTTCACAGTATTCCAGCTGTGGTCCAACAAGTACCTTGTATTGTTTTAGCAAGGTATTCTTATTTTTATACTGCATGCCCTTTGAAATAAAGACCAACATTCCGTTTGCCTTCCTATCACCTGCTGAATTTTGTAGGTTAGCTTTTTGTGTTTAATGCATGAAGATCTCTGTGCCGTAGCTTTCAGCAGTCTTTCTCTTTAAGTAATATTCAGCTTGATTCCTCCTGACAAAAATGCACAGTCTCATTTTTTCCCACATTATATTCCATCAGCTAATTTTTTGCCCACTCACTTAACCTGTAGACTCTGTGCCACCCTCACTATTTGCTTTCCCACCTATTTCTGTGTCATCTGCAAACTTGAATTATAGTACATTCGCTTCCCTTATCTATATTATCTCTACCCCTCATGATTTTAGAAACCTCTACAAGGTCACCCTAACATGTTCCATGTCTTTTGCCAAATAACCATGTGCCATTGCATAATGGAGTGCTCACCTCAAAAATGTTGATGAATTAAGCAAGGAGAAAGATTAGTAAACAATGCTTGGTTTTGTCTCAATGGATAAAGTAATATGGCAATCATTTTAACAGAGCAGTTTGGGTAACAAATTACAGGTGGGAAGAGGGGGCAAAGTTACCTACAGAACTGCACCACAAATACCAATCAATACATTCAACAGGGATGGAAAAGGGGGCAAACATAATTATTTATTACAAACCAAAATGAGAACATCAATAAAATGAAATAAAAGCAACTTACTGATATTAGGAGTCCGATGCTAGTAATTCTGATGCCAAGTGCATACGGTGAGTCACAACGATATTGGTCTGCTAAATATTTTATGAAGTCAGCCAAATCTATTCTTTGCGCTTTGCTGGATTTTCTATACGCACGGATACTCTGGAGCAGAAAGTAAATCATGAATATCCGCAAATATTTATGATGACAATGATAATGAAAACAACAATAAGGAATAATATTATGAATAGAAAGAAGACAATACCATAAATAAGCCAACAAAAGATTCTGAATTTTTACAAGTAGATTTTAACTTCGCTACTCAAAGAGATAATGAAGATATAATTAGGATAACTGATATTGGCAGAAACCAGCAACTTAAACACTTACACGTACCAGAAAGGTAACAACACCATGAGAACTCTGTAAGCAAATTGATGCCTTATCTCTCAGTGGCAAATGGTGTGTTGCTCAAGTTAACAAATCAAGAACCCACAGGTTTCAAAATCCTATAAAAATATCATCCCCATGAAGCAAATATTTACCCAATTTCTTCTGCTACCAATCTTAAATGTTTACACGGTTACTAAGCTCCAAGAAAGCATTGTTCTACTCAAATAAAAGTTTTCTTTGGCTCTAGAATGATATGAGTCTCACCCTAATCATAAACACATTCTAAATATGCAACATACTATACCTGTAAAATATCCACCGTTTCAATTTCAAATATATCCTCATCCTTCAGTGACTCAGGCACTTTGAATAACCTGTGCACAAGAGGCTGTTTGCATAAAGGGCCAAGTTTCAGGTCTTCAAAGCTCTGTTTGTTTTTCAGTGCTCCCAAGCACTGGTTCAGCTCATAAAGAGTACAGACAGTCCGGATAGTTTCAAAAGCCTTAAAAAATGTAATTAGACAGCATTAATTTTCTGCATTGCAAAGAAGAACCTTGCCATACATTAGGGCAGAACAAAATTAAGGGGTCCACTTAAAGTAGGAAGTAAAGTGACAGTTAAACAAAACTATGATTGATAAAATTTGTTAGTTCCGTTCATTGTTTCTACGGGAGACGCAAGAGACTGAAGGCAGAGAGGGTAGGGTGAGCAAAAATTCCATTCTGCTGGAGCTTCATCCCAATCCCTTTCCATCCACAAACAATTCCCACTTACTTCAATGAAAATGGTGACTTCTCGCTGTGTTCGACGAAGTTCTTGAATGGCAGAGAGTTGTTTGACAGGTGACCAGATGCCAATGTCTTTCAGGTTTTGAACCCGAAAGTGTCTGCAAACTCTATGCAACACCTATTACAGACAAGAATAAAAGGGGAACACAAATCAATTAGTTGCAAGAAGCTAGCTGGTTGCTGGGATCAAGACATAGAAGAATCCCATATTTAATGTTTTAACACTTGTATTTCTACGTAATGGAAACATTAAGTGCAAAAAGTCACCTTTGACATCACTTCACTCCACAAACATATCTCAGAACAGATCAGTTGTCTGAGCAGATTCCTTGAAGCCTGTATTTGTAATTGCCCATGCAGTGATATATTAATAGCGCATTAAAATTGCTTTGCAAAATGGGGAAGTGAAACAGCACATATAGACATGAGAAAAGAATCTCTAATATTTTAGTAGCTTCTCTGTCCCAAACTACTGCCAGTTATGTTCCCTTCTATACTCCTCTGACAAGGCATTGGCATGTCAGAAAAGCTTCTATGTTCTGATATACCTGTATTAATATTATTTACCCAAAAGAACTGCTTATTCCTAATGTAGCATTGATGCATACGTTTAGACATAATCTTAATGAATAGCAGAGCAGGTTTGATAGGCCGAATGGCTTGCTCCTGTCTGCATATCTTATGTTTTTATACGTATGTGCCTGTGAAAATAAAAAATTTCTCCTCCCACAGCACAAGTAAAATTTGTTTGTCCCGAGTCCTTTCCTTCATTTATTAGAACACTTACCTTTGTTTCGGTGACCTGCTCTCCTTCAGCAGCTAACGCACGAATAAACTCTTCAGTTTGTTGATTCACTTCTTCCACATTGATTCTCCTATTTTGGGAGGACAATAGAGGATCTGAGGCTAACATTTCAACTGCCTGCATCACAGAAGCATGTTCCTCTCTTACACATCGATGGTAGTTTTGGGTGAATCGGTCCTTTGATCGCATCTTCTGCAATTCCTCTTCTTTCAGCTTTTTCAGCATTTCTTTTGATATTTTTGTGTCTAATGCAGGGAAGTCTTCTGAAGACACTGTTGTCAGTGCAGGGGAAGCAGAACGCGATCCTGGATTTATTGAAGCATTGATCTTTTGATTAAGGGTGCAAAGTTCAGCTGGTTGCCCTGTTGTATTTCGTTCAGGCCCCAGACTGAAATCAGTTGCAGGCTGATTTACTTTCTTTGAGGTTTCTTCCTTCTGGTAACTTTTTGGTTTTGCACAGCCTCTGTTTTTCTCAAGATCATCCTCTGAAGATGATGTCGATAACGCTGGTGAGGCTGTCTGACGTTCTGTGAAACCAAATGTTGCTACTTGTGGTATTGGAAAACGGACCAATGGCGGAGAATAGAACATGCTACTCATAGGTGTTACATTTTGTCCATACATTGCACCAGGAGCTGTGCAGAGGTGCAAACAAATGAGATAAAACAACATGAGTTTGACATAGAGATAGTAAGAACTGCTGATGCTGGAGTCAGAGATAAGACAGTGTGGAGCTGGAGGAACACAGCAGGCCAGGCAGCATCAGAGAAGCAGGAAAGTTGACGTTTTGGGTCAGGACACTTCATCAGATTATCTGAAGAAGGGTCCCGACCCAAAACATCAACTTTCCTGCTCCTCTGATGCTGCCTGGCCTGCTGTGTTCCTCCAGCTCCACACTGTGTTATTAGTTAGACAGATTTCCCTGCAATCCATTAATATTCCTAATAATAGGTTCAACTTTCACCAAAAGCAACTGGTTAATATATTATCTCAGCAAAGAAAAGCAAACCTACGTTATTGAATTGAATTATCTTTATTGTCACATGTACTCAAATGGGTACAGTGAAAAGTTTATACTCGCCACTTACAGTGCCATCTTCAGCAGAAAGGTACCAGGTACAACTTCTTCAGTTACAAGATATTTTATTTGAAGAAAGGACATTATTTGAAGGAGGCTTTTGGTGTGGGAGAAAATAAAAACATTCTCCTAAAGGAGGTAAGTTAACTCAAAAGATGTAACAAGCCATAATACAGACTGCTGTCCCCTTTCAACCGTATTTATTGGTGATCCAAAAGTTTGACAGCATATTGTACATTAATTATACTGGTCTACATTAATGGATAGTATCATAGTTCTACAGTCTAAGAGCATAGAAAAGTTAACAAAACTCCACCCTGATGGCCCAATCTGTGCACAGTGAGCTCCCTCAAATAACAATGTGATACCATCCAGATAATCTGATGCCCAGGAAAAATAAATATTGGGACAGGTAACAGAGGACATTGCTTCTTAGCTTCAAAATAGTAATGTACTGGACTTTTGTGTTCAAGTCCTGAAGTGGATCTTGAACCTGTTATCTTGTGGCTCGGATGTGAGCAATGATTGATACAGTTGACACCTAAGATAAGAAAGTAAATTGTACAGGAAAGCAAATTGATTCTGGTTGTGTAATACAGTGCACTCAGTGAGTTGGTGTTGCTTTGAAAATGTGCACTTTTTACCTGCATTGTGTAATCTGCAGTTATGGATAGTGATGGTAGAGGAGGTCCAGTTTCTCTCTGTCACATGCCTGACCCAGAATCTTTCCTGCCCTTACAAGAGACGTACATTGGAAGGATTTCCAGGTTTAGACTCAACCATGTTCTGAACACACCTTCCTTTGTGATCAGCTCTTGGGATGGAAGTCAAACCCAGAGCTTTTGGTTCAGAAGCAGGGATGCTATCTTCTGTACCACAAGATCTCCAATGATCTGGGAGTTCAAATATACAAATTGCTTTAAAAAAGTAGCAACACACATAAGTAAAACCAAATAAAAAATTAACAAAGCATCTAATAAAGGGAGCAGAAATAAAAACAGGAAAATGCTGAAGAAACTCAGCAGGTTTGGCAGCATCTGGAAAGAGAAACAGAATTAATGTTTTGAGTCTGATATGATTCTGCTTCAGAACTGGAGAACTGGAGCTTGAGTTTTGAAGAAGGGTTTCATCGGATTCAAAAGGTTCTCTCTGTTTCTCTTTCTCCACAGATGCTACCCAATCTGCTGTGTTTCTCCAGTACTTTCCTTTTATTTCAGGTTTCCAGCAGTATTTTGCTTTTGTTCATGTGGAGCAGGGTGTTGGGGCTTCACTTCTGTATGGACTGAATTGAAAAGCAGAGAATTTATCGCAGATCACATGTGGAATATGCTGTACAACTCTGGGGCTGGCTTTTTAAACCTCATTGGTGAAGGGTGGGCGCTAAAGGAATCATTGTCAGTCACTGTGCCAGTCCTGGGTCCAGATCATTTTTGCATATCGATGTGTGGGGTCTTGTATGTTTATTAAGGTCACTAGTAGCCAGCAATGCCAGCTAAAGGGGTCAACTGGGATATCTTGTTGGTGTGGGGCTGAGGGAGAAACCCAACGCTCAGACAGATTTAGCCCTGTGCCCCACCTTTTGAAAGACCACCTGGTAGGGGTTCTCCTCGGGTGGTGACCTAGCTGCAAAAGCTATTCATTTGTTTAAAAGTTTGGATTGAGAACATCTCCATTTTGAAATGCTGTCACCCCTTCCTTACTAGTGCAGCATGCTGCATGGCCTCTGATTGGCCCCTGAGTTTGAAAGTCCCATTTGGCCTCCATAACTGGACACTAAGCATGTGCAGTGACCACTAAAGGGCTGCCCCTGAGAAACACATGATGAGGGACTATTTCCCCACACAATGTGGGCTTCTGATCCAGATTTCTGTTCAGTTGTGAGACTTATAAACTTGCAGGGAAGTCCTGCACTTGGTCGCTGCGGCAAGAAAAAGGGTATAAAAGTACAACAATTGACTCAAATAATGCCAACACTGAGAAGTGACATTAATTGACTGGGGCTGTTTTCTCTCGAAAATAAAAGATGGAGGAATGGCCTGACAGAGATTCTGACTCAGAGGTAGGGACTTTCTGCAACATGTGACATCCCCAAATCTGAAGCAAATAAGTCACTTGTAAACCCAGCATGGAACTCAGGGGAAAGCATCTTGAACAGAGAGTGGTGAGAATGTGGAACTTGCTACCACAGGAGGTAGTTGAAATGAAATAGCACAGACGTGTTTAAGGAATAAGTGGATTAAATACTGAGGTGAGTAAGAAAGAAGAAAGGGGCTAGATAAAGGGTGGATGGAGATTGGTGTGGACATAGTAACAGGATGCTTGAAAAAAAATCAGCGTTTGGTTAATTCAACACTGTTTTATGGAACAGAAATCTGGCTTCAACTCCTTTATAAAAGTAGCATATTATTTCCTTTATTCATACGGGGAAATTTCAATCTGGATTAGTGATTTAAAAATAAAGTACCTTGTGGCAGTGGAGCAAATGGAAACATGAGTTGACTCGCAATGTTGCTGTTTGTGATTTCCATATTTGGTAAGGGAGCTGAAGCTGGCTTTGATCCTTTAGCTACATTCTCATCTGTTTTTGCTACTCCAGCACGTTGAGTGGGCTTTAGTTTGAACACCATGTTTTTTCCAGATGAGGGGACTATATCCACCAAATCAGTCATGGATTTGATTAGCTCGTTAATGGAGCCAAACCCATAAGATTTTGCTCTGAGGTTGCATCGATATTTCTTGTTGTACATTTCACATAGTTTCCTTTCAGGAATGCCATTTGGTTCACTTTGCAAGAGCTCCAATATCTCACCACGAAGTTTCTCCATCAAATTAACTAGAGAAATACAATAATGGACAATTTTAAATTAAAGGTAGTATAAAAGAATATACATAATTTAACAGAGAAATTCAGAAGAGCCTTTTGCACTCATCTCGAGGCTTCCCTAATGGCTGGTTCAGTAGCATCAGAGCAAACTGGGAACATTCAGAAACGAGATGACCACCAGCAAACAGCCTCACAATAAAAACAGCAGTTATTAAACATCAATAGCTTGAAAGTTTAGCAATAGCAGAACTACTTGCTTTGATCACAAACTGCTCACATGGGTAGGATTTACGTAAATGGAACAGAAGCTATTTTGAACATCCATATTGCTTCATACTGATAAGCAAACATTTGCTGCACTTCATATCAACATTTATTATGGGAAATCCCGTGAATGAATTTAAAAAATCCATATGCAAATAGGTCTGTTATGTTTGTCAAAGCATCAATTAAATCACTATTTATTTTCTCCACAAATCTATTAATCTAAATTTTCATGTCTAAAATAAGATTTATAACCAAGGTTAAAATTCAAGAAAATACACATTTTAGCTTAAAATCAATAATCAAAACTATTGATTTCCTTCTGCCTAATTTGAACATCTAATTTCCCATTACTTATACTAGTTGCATCAAATAATCTGTCGTAGCAAGTTCCACAATCCCGTCACTCTTTGGTAAAGAAATTCCTACTGAATTTCCTACTAGACTTCTTGATGATTACCGCATCTAGTTGGCTCTAATTATGCTCTGCCCCACAAGAAGAAACATTGTTTCTGCATTTGCTCAAACAAAACCTTTCATAGCATTATGTAGGTTTCCACTAGGCTTTCTTTTACCAAGACACAAAAAGAGAACCATCCTGTTGTTCCTTTCCTGATACGTGTACATATGCTTGTAAGTTTTATTTCAAACAAATAGTTTGGGTAAATGCCATGTTCTAGATATTTTTAATCAATCTGTTCAGAGATGCTATTACACACCTCTGGAGTAAGTGGGACTTGAACTCCGGTCACCTAGCTCAGAGGTAGGGACACTACCAATGTGTCACAAGGAACTATGCCGTGTTCTATTATAACCTACATACACACATGCCACCTTTGTGAATAGCATGGGTACAGGTCAGAGACTTGTTTGGGACTCTGGGGCTTCTTATGCTCTCTAGCTCTCATCTTTCTCATATCCCCAACTATGCCCCATTATCACACGCGGAAACTTACACTAACCCATACTACCTACCCAACATTAATGGCCCTTTATTGCCTCCAAGCCAACTTTGTTCAAACTCTCGAAACCACTACCATGACATTTTCAGCTTCCATTCCAACTCGTCCAGTATCCACTACGGGCAGATTTCAGGAGCCACCCTGCAATGGATCTAAATAGCAATCTCAGAGTTCAATATATTAAAAATGTCCCATTCATAAAATCTCATTCAAAGCATTAGCAGCACAGGACTATTACACACCAAACTGTGGAAACAGCATACTATTGATGGAGCTAGGTGATCCTACAACCGACAGATCAGATTGAAGCTCTGCAGTTCTGCCACAGCCAATCATAGACAATTAAACAAACAACAAGAAGAGCGGCTATCAAATATCTCCATCTTAGTGAGGAGGTGCCCGGCACATCAGTGCAAAAGACAAGGCTGAAGCATTTGCATCCACCTTCCAGTTCCACTGTGGCCTCTTCCTAAGGTCCTCAGCATCATAGATACCAGGCTTTAGTTAACACAATTAATTCCATAACACATAAATCAAGTATTGGCTCATGGATACCGGAATACTGCAACAATATAGGGCTTGACAACATTCAGGCAGTAGCACTGAAGATTTGTGCTCCAGAACTAGCCATGTCTCCTGCCAAACTATTCCAGTACAGCTACCTAGTAATGCAGAAAATTACCCAGTTCACAAAAATCAGGTCAAATCTACCCTCATCAATTACCACCCCATCAGATCACTCTTAATTATCTGTGAAGTGATGGATGGAGTGGGTGACTTGCTACAAATAGATACTTGCTCAGCAATAACCTGTTCAGTTTTGAGTTCCACCAGGCCACTTGGCTCCTAATTTTTTTAAGTCCTGGTAAAACATGGACACAGCTGAACTCCAGAAGTAAGGTCAGAGTGACAATCCTGGACACTAAGGCAGCATTATGGCATCAAGGAACCTTAGCAAATCTGGAATCAGGGAGAAAGCATACTGCTGGTTGGAGCCATACCCAGCACAAAGGGAGATGGCTTTGATTGTGGGAGGTCAATCATCTCAGCTCCAGGAGTTCCTCAGGGTAGTGTCCTGGGCCCAACCATCTTTAGCTGCTTCATCAATGACCTTCCCTCCATCATAAGGTCAGAAGTGTGTTCACTGATGCACAATGATCAGCACCATTCATGACTCCTTAGATACTGAAGCCTGCTTTTATATGCAGTAAATTGTGGGAAATATCCAAGCTTGGATTGATAAGT